GAGTCAGAGGCTACATTGGAATCGTCGTCAGAAGAGTCATCGTCCGAGTCAACAGTCTCAGTTGTTGATTGGTGAGCATGCGAAGCTTTGTCGGCTTGAGCCGGGGTTGCCTTGATCGACAAGAGAAGCTTGAACAAGGTGCATGCGCCAAACATAGTGGTAGTAGCGAACTTGAACATCCCAGGAAGATCCATGACCGAATACAGGACCTCTGTCAGGATATAGTAGTCACGTAGTTTGCTAATAAGGGTGAGGTTAGCGTCCTTGACCGGACCGTAGGCCTTCACACTAATCAGTCCCTGTTGAGCAGACTTCCAATCACTAATAAATGTAGCCGGAGCAGCAAAGGGGAAGTCTGGCTTTGCTGTGGATGGATGAAGAAGGCTTCTTAATTCTCAATCCACTTGTTTGGCATGAATCTTGCGGGCGTACCCATGGGGACTTGTTACACCGGGGGAACGTTCATTGAATTTAGCAAGTCCTGTGTAAGGAGTAGAAACCCAATCCATCTTGATTCCAATAGGGATAGCGAAGTCCAAGTGACGCATGATTTCTTTCGCATGGGCTTCAAAGTTAACCTCCGGCGGAATGAAGGCAAAGCAACCCACTTTAACAATGCCACCATATTGAAGCGGCAAAGGGTAACATCCTGCACCACGACCCTGGGAACGTAGACCAGTGTGAAGATAGTCTTAGACCCCCACTGCCGACGTGTCCCTTGCAAAGCCCACCCGCATGCGGGTACTTAGTTTCTTCTCGCCAGGCTTGCTGTTGGTTGCCGCATAAGGGGAATTCCCATATCCATATTGCAGTAAAGACTCAGGGCCCGGTAGGACAAAATTTTGTTGCGTAACTCCACCGAGTTCCGGATCCACCGGTTCTGTTGTTTATAAGTGTCGTCGGAGATAGGAAGGATCTTCAACTTGTGAAAGGAGTTGTTCAAAGCTTCCTCCATTGATGTCAGCACCGCAGATAAAATTGCCTCAGCAACCGTGCCGGAGTCCGATCCCGAGTAATTTGTCGCAAATGTGGTCTCGAAAATATGACATCTGCATGTCATCTCATCCAAGTTAACTTGAATTAATTTGTTGAGTTTCTCAGCAAGAGTGGGCGGTGGAGATAGGCGACGTGTAGGTGGAGGTGTGTTTATCAATGAAGAGCTATCCTGAGAGACCTGAGTAGGGCTTGTCAAGCCGTCAACCGCCATGTTGTCATCTTCTGACCTCCCCGGTGCTTCTACATACTCTGACTGAACCTCCCGAGCGTTGCTCGCCACATCAGCATCATCCTCATCCTCTTCATCGTCATCATCATCTGAAGAAAGTGGTGGGCGTCTTGGGATGTTACAAACCTCTGTCACTAGTATTTCATCGTCATCATCGTCCTGATCTGGTTGTTGGTAGGCATTGCCATCAATGGTAGTGGCGTCGTCGTCCGCAGCCTCCGCATTGTCAGCATTTGTCCCAATCGATTCATCATCATCCAACAGTGCATCATATCTATTGTCGGTCAGATTACGATGGAGCTTCCGTCCGTTGATCCGCTAAAGTCGCTTTGTCCGGATGGGACTGGCCTACCACATTGTCCAAATTATCATTCATTGGATCACTGATCTTCTGAATTGCTTGTTGAGTGTGATGGGTTGAACTTTCTGGTCGGAAAAAGGACTGAGAAGGTGCCAAGCATTTTTGTTTGATGCCACGGATGATTGACGACGGCGGCTCGTTATAATAGTCGTTGTCAAAGGTTGTCGCCCATGGATAATCAAACAATTCAGAACAAATCAACCAAAAGCCAACCAAAGGATTTTCCAGACGAAGTCGAGGATCCGACTTGTCCCCATCAAAGAATTGATTGTTGTTCTGATTTTTTTCGAATTCGACAATGCCAAAAAACGAGAAAGGGTTCTGCAATGAAATTTGCATTGCAAGAACTCCCATTGACCAGACGTCTTCGGCTGCTTTATCCTCAATTGTGAAGAGGTCGAAGGAGGATATGAGATATTGGGCCAGCTGGGCATTATCAGAGTTGAGATAAGTAATAATAATAACTGAAACATTAATCAATTAAATGCTATCTAGCGCATACGATTGCCGGTGGAATAAGCGGCTGTAAAGGTCAAGTACCGTGAAGCGACGAGTCAACAACTAGTTTGAACCATTGGAGACATCTGGTGGACAGAAGTTGCTCTAGTCAGGATCGAGAGGATCCTAACTCTACCCGCGACGGGGCGGGGTGATTTTGGGGCGTTGATTCCTCGAAACGGGGTTAGGGGGCCTGAGCCGGGTGGAAGAAGCGATGAAGGATACGGCGTTGGGGCGCCAGAGCGCGGCGATAGGCCGTGCGTTCCATTCTAACCAGCTTCAGCCACTCTTCCCTATCGACCAACGGCTTGTTCAACACAGTTCGGCGTTTCACAGCGAGCATGCGTTGAACTACCTTGGGGAGGTCGGTTGGGCCCATGTCAAACTGAGAGTGTATACCGTTGTTCACCAATCGGCTACGTTCGCGTAGCTGTACATTGTCCTCCGAATGTTGCACCGAGTTCCGGTGTTTCCCACATATGAAATCCAAGCAAGATCAGCTGATGTGACAGGCGAGAGACCCACAGGGTCGGAGAGCGTTGGCTCCCTCGTGACTGAAGGTACTGTTCCTGCAGGGCCGCCCACTGAACAGACAGCCGGCCTTCCAATAATCCTTGGTAGCCGATGCATTGTTGGGAGAGGAAAGCGCGGCAAAGACAAACCGGGACCACCCGACTGCAAGGTAGGGACGGATCACAAACTCCTTGAAGACGATGGAAGATAGCGTGTTTGATGGCAGGGTCAGTGACTTGAGCGTCCAGCCGTTGGTCCAAGGTCGCCGTCCGGCGATCCCATTCCGCACTCGCCAAGGGCGCCATACATCGAGGAACATGAAGGTGGTCCTCAAACTCGCCGCAGCAGGGGCACGCAGCTGAGTCTGCGGAACCCCACCGGACTTTGAACTTCCCTACACCACACATCCCCAGGACATACGTTGTCCTCCAAATGTTGCACCGAGTTCCGGTGTTGTTAGAGTAAAGCAAAATGTGCTCTATCCTGAGTGCCTTTAGCGCTCAGAACAAACTCTCTGCAATCTAAATTCGTAATCGATTGTACAACACTTTCACGACAATAGTTCTCCTGTGTCTAGGTATACTTTGAGTGAAATTGTTCCTATTTGATTA